GAGGAAGAAGGTCCTTCGGTGAAGGGCCGAGCGTGGCCGGTGAGGAGAACGATGATGCAGAAGTATGGGAGCACTCCAGGATGCCAAGGGTGTCACACAATCAACACGGGTGGCGCGCTGGTTCAGGCGAGCCACTCAGAGGAGTGCAGAGTGAGGATGAAGAGGAGAATTGCAGAGGATGTAAAGAAAGATGAGGAGAAGATGAAGAAGCAGAAAGATGAGGATGAAAGAGAAATTGCGAGAAGGGCGAAGAAGAGAGTAGCGGAAGAGGAAGCGAATGATGAGGCAAGGGCTGAGGCTGAGCCGTCAAGTTCAAGCCGAGGCCCCGATGCCGGGGAAGCATCGCCAAAGCGGAAAGGAGGAGAGCAAGGAGCAAGGGACATCGAAGATGTCTTGCGAGATATGGAAGAGGATGCAAGCGGGCAGGCAGGCTCGAGAAGGATGGAAGCAGAAGAGATCCTGGCAGAGGCCGGGAGCAAGGAAGCTGCGAGCATAGTGGCTAGCCTAGGTGCGTTGGATGTGCTGGAGGTGTTTTCACCTCAGCGTGTGACAAAGGAGCTGAAGCGATTCGGCATGCGTGACGGAGCGGCGGTGGACCTAGAGGAGGTGAAGCCAGATGGGTCAGAGAGGTGGAACCTCGACAGGCCAGAAGATCAGAAGGAGGTGCTGGAGATGATTCAGGTGGAGGAGCCTTGGCTTCTGACGAGCTCACCGCCGTGCACTACGTTTAGCCCGCTGAGGAACGTGTCCAATGGTAAGAGGGACCCGGGTGTGGTGCAAGAGGAGGAGGAGCTTGGAAAGGCGAGGATGAGAACAGCGATGAAGTGCTGCAAGCAACAGCGGGAGCAGGGTGCCTTTTATCTCCATGAGCACCCGAAACCGTCCACGTCATGGAAGATGCCGGAGGTGGAAGAGGAGGTGAATCGAGACGACACGTACTTGGTTCAGAGTCCGATGTGCCGTTGGGGCATGAAGATGGAGGACCGAGAAGGTGAAATCCTGCATGTGAGAAAGGAGACTTTGTGGCTGACGAACTCAAGGAGGATTGCAGAAGAGCTGGAGGGCGTGTGTGAGAATGTCCTACAAGGTCGAGAAGTACATCGGCATGTTCATCTGGTGGGTGGTGGACGAGCTAAGGCTGCGCAGGTCTACCCCAAGGAGCTGGTGGAGGCAATTCTACGCGGCTTGAGGAAAGAGCTACGAGAGAGGGGAGAGATCAGTGCAGTGGAGGAGCAGTTGTCAGGCCCGACACCGGATGAGTACGTCGAGCAGGAAGAGCTCTACAAGGAGGAGTTCAGCCAGTTTGTGGATGATGTGACCGGTACGGAGTTGCCGGCGCACATGGTGAAAGCGGCGCGCAAGGAGGAGCTGGACTGGCTCCACAAGGAGGGCGTCTACGAGAAGGTCCCAAGAAGGATCTGCGAGGGTAAGGGCATGAAGCCCTTGCAGTTGAAGTGGCTGGACATCAACAAGGGAGACGCGACCCAGGTGAAGGTAAGGAGCAGATTGGTGGCGAAAGAAGTGAAAAAGGCAAAAAGGCCTGAAGATCGACTTTGGGCGGAGGAGACGTTCGCGGCGACCCCGCCGCTGGAGGCTGTGAACCTGCTCCTGAGCCTGTTCATGACGGAGAACCCAGAAGAGCCGGACGCCAAGGTGGCTTGCTGGGACATCAGCCGCGCACACTTCATGGGGCGTGCGGAAAGAGAATTGTACGTGGAGTTGCCGGTGCGCTACGAGGTTACCTCTT